TGCCATCGAGAAAGAAGCATATACGAACAGGAAGTTATCTGAAACGACTGCTTTACAACTTTCGAGCAAATTGGATACAATCATTAACTTAGCCAACCAGTTGGATGAAGATCGGACAAATTTCTCAGGCATAGATATTGGTGTTCTTGTGTGGAGTTCACAAAGGAAATATCGAACAAGCAAACAGAATTCGAAATTCTCAAAAACCGGATCACCGCGCACTATCTGCTCACAGTGAGATCCCGAAACAACTGAGATGGAAGTTGTTGTGAGTAAAGAACCTAATCGAGGAAGAAAAGAAACCAAAATCAATCCGGCAAAAGACAGGGCAGAGAAGGTACGAGGACCTCGCTGAACCACTCAGTTGGGGTTGATCGTGGCGCTGGATTTTTAAGACAATTTTACATGTTTCATTCTAGATCTACCTTTGGACTAATTTTCAGACCGAAATGTCTAAAATGTTGCTTAAAAAAATTGCAATAAAGAAAACATCTCTATCCCTTCTAGAGGAAAGGGTTTATAATATTTTTTTGTTTCACCGATGTTTATCGATAGTACTATGATGAAAAAATGAGATAAGAGATAAGTGAGACAAGAGTGATAAGAGATAAAAAATCTATGATTCGATGTTTTCCTGTAGAGCGGAGAAAAAAACTGAGTCTAATTTTTATAAAAATCACACCTGTTTAATACTCTATAGTTAATTTTATAATTAAAATGTACAACAGTTAAACAGTTTCTTTTGTTTATTATTACTTTATTGTTTTAAGTAAAAAACAATGCAAAAAAAAAAAATTCAATCTTAGGCAAACATGTTCATACTGCTTCTTAGGATTTACACAATATATCGGTTAGTACTATATCTTAACAATAATCTAAACAAAATTAAAAGAGATTTTATTTTTTTTTTAAATTATACCAGATCTAGTTTAGTTATGTAGAGAAAGGTGTGAGTCAGTTTAAATGTTGACCCAATTAAGTACTTTCCATTCACCATATACGACTTTTATATGAACAAATTAACTAACCTATCTAGAAAATATTGTAAAGTCAAAAAAAAAAAAAATTTTAATAATAAACATTGTAAAACCAATACCTCGTCTACTTACCTGAGGCGACTGTGATTAGTTTTAAATTAAATTCATATTTTTTATTCTTTACAGATAATAATGAAACTTTTTTGTATTTTAATATCATTTGTTTATGTGAATGTATTCGCAAATATAGGTATTTAGTTTGTTTTCATACTTACTTAAGCGAGGTAGTTAAAAAACTAAAAAACAAATAATGTTTTACTCTTTTATACAGCGCGCTATAGGAGGGAGGTCTTCATTACAAGTCAGTAACATTTTTAATCATATACAATGTGATTTATTAAGCATAAGATATACCTACTCAATATTTATTAAAAAAAAATTTCAAATTTATAGTATTTCTTTTGGAAAATATGTTCGAATCAATTTAACGGTATTTTAGACACTAACCGAATCGGACACATAACGTCAAATTTTGATATTTACTATCAGCTTTATTAAAGTTTTAGGAAGGATGGAGTGTCATATCATTTTTATCTACCAGCATTAATTTTGCGCACTACACCTTCCGTCCATATATTAAACTTATGTATTTTTTATATTAATATCGACCAGTCCACATTTTCGTACAATTTTTTCTAATTTAAAAAATTAGTGAAATATTTTGTACGTTTTCTTTTAAATTTTTAAAGCTGACGAAACTCTTGAAAAAAATAAAAATGATAATATATAATTGTTATTGTCTAATGTTGTAAAAAAATAAATAAATAAAGTGCTCCCCCAAAAAAAAGCTACAAAATTTCCCAAAAAAATGAGTACCTATCTTATCCCTGATAATTCATCCTAGAATAACTCTATGATTTTATTTTTAATTTGAAATTTAATTACATATATAAAATAAATTTTTTAGACAAACACATCGAGCTAGCTTCTGAACGTGATAATGATTTACTTGGAAGTAAGATATATAACAATTTGTTTACTTATATACATACCCTGTGTGTAAATATAATACCCCATTCCAGTTTTAATAATTTGTTATCATGATTTAGCTTGAAAACCTATTTTCGTTTATTCTAGATGGACTGGAGCGAGTGATTAAAAAGATTATTAATGAAAATACTTTCCTATTAGGTATTTATTATTATACGGGTCCTAGTAAGAACAAAGCTACTTAAAAGAAAAAAGATATTTTGAATTTTTATAATAATTACAACAATACTTTATGCAAATTTATCAGTGATATAAATATTAAATTATACTATAAAATATAAATGGAAACTTCAGGAATAATCATATTGATACTCATCCTCAACATATTATTACAATATCTTATTCTACTCGCCACATCGTCTTTAATACAGCCATTATAATATCATAATACTTCCACTCTATTTAAAAGAGCCAAGCACAGTTCTTTTCAAAAACATGTTTATTATTATACATTGAACTTCGTCGTCCAATTTATTATAGAATAGAAAAATTAATCCAATATCAATTATTTATGTATTAATTATACTAAATATTTATTAATTATATAATTTAATAAAATATCACTGTAATCAACCTTCTACCTCCAAGGTTTGCTTATAGGATGCAGATAAACCTTAATAAATGGTTTTCTAAAAAAAAAATGTTAATTTCAGATGTGATGAATTTTACGATCGCTGTACCGGGTAATAATTTATTTTGGCTGTATAATATTTTGGTCATATTTTCACAGATTTGTTTGATATTTATTGGGATACAATGTTTTCGTATTTATTTCAGAGCATGCAAAACTTAACGGCAGAAACAACATAATGAGTAACTATATTTATATTTACAATACTTTGCACAGATTTACTATTGGTATGCATTAAAAATAACTATTAACTTACATACCGGTATTAATAATTAAAAAAAAAAAAAAAATGATAATCAAACTTAAATTCTTTCAATTTCAGTGTCTATACATAACCAGCGACGTATAAGAACAGAAATAACACATATACTAGGTATAGGTAAAATTTAAAATTTTCTAGCAAACAATTTTCAAAATGTAATTATACATAGTTCTAAGAAAAAATTCTATTTAAGTCGTAAGCTCATAAAGCTATCAATATTTTGATAAGCTTTTGATGATCATTCGACATATTATTACAGTTATTAATTCAATCGTCGCGATTAGAAATCATTTAGTGATAATACATTAGATTGTTAATGGTTAATCGGTTCAATTATATCGGTTTTATGGTTAAGCAATAAAAAAAAATATATATTATTAACATTTTTGTTATAGGTATAGCGGCACCTAATGCTCGTAACTTAAGTACGTAGCTATGAATTTATTAGATAGTAGTAAATAATATAAAGATGACATTTTTTTATGCTTATTTTCACACAATAATTACAATAGAGTACACTTTTAGTTAGAAAGAGAGAATGACAGTAAACAACTGTTTAGCAACTATTACATCTAATATATATATTATTATCTTTAATTAATGGTATTGGCAATCCTGAAATTTCAGTAGTTAATTAAGCAACAACTGTTATTGTTGTATAGGCATTATTTTCATTGTATTTATTTTCCTTTTTAAATGTTGCGTTTTCTTCGTTATTTATTGTAAAGCTCTAAACCGATTTTTTTATGTTTCGAGTCTACAAACAAAAAATTGTATCAGAACGGTACTTTATAAGGCTAAACATAGTTAATGTTCATTCCTCTCAATTTAAATCAATAAAAATAACACAAAAATGTACGTACTTTTTAACTTTACAGATTGTACAAACCATTAGTTATATCACTGTTCTTCAAAATGTAATACGATTATATATCACGAGCGACTTATTTATTTTTCACTTGTATTATTATTATTTTTTTTTATCTAAATGGTTATTTAAACGTTTTGACAGATTTTGGAAACTCAAATTTACCACAACTCGGAGAAGAGAGAAGACGTCTTACTGGAAAAGCTTTAAAACAAATAATTATCCACGCGTTGGGTAAATATTAATATAGAGTTGTTGATTTTAACCTTTACATATAATTATATAGTATTAAATCTACATCTTTATATGTACCAATTGAAATAATTGAATCATAAAAATATTATTAAAAATCAATAACAATATAAAGTATTTTACAGACAAACATATCACAGATTTATCTTCATCACAGTAACACACAAATTAAGTTCATTATTTATTTCAAACATAGGAACTTAGAAAATAAATAATTATTTTGAGCATTTATTTTCTCCGTACTTACTATTGTTGTTAACATCACGGTCAGAATTTGTCTTTTTTATTTAGTTAATATTCTTTAATTTCCTTTGGACTCTCTTTGGATCCATATCTTATGCGATGCGTTATAACGCCAATTTGCCAATTTTTTTACAATTATTTAATAAGTATAATTCAGAACAATAAAACTTAAAAACGTATAATTACATTTCTTAACACCTAACCTGATAAGTGATCACTAGATTACCAATTTGTACATGTGCACTATCTAGTCACCACTAACACATACTTTTATTACAATACACAAACCCTTAAAGAGTTTTGTGTATAGAGCAAGACAATAAACTTCAGTTTCTTTTTTTTTTTTGGTTGGGGTCAATAAGAAAATTTGTGCATCACGCAGATTTTTTTTAAATATAAAAAAATTGTTTTTTTTTTTAAACTTTTTAGATGGAACTGACCCTAATGTTATTTCACAACAAATGTGTCGTTTCATAGGATTGTGGATAAGTACGGAAATCCCAACATTATATATGACAAATACTTATATTGATCCTGATATTAGTAGTGTTTGCATTTTAATGGATAAAAGCAATCACGCTGTAAAATACAGAACCTTTAACGGCACATATTGGCAAGTAGACGTGAATAACATTGAATTACAAATAATAGAACTAAAAGATCAACTGCTTGTGGAAGAGTTATCATTTATCATAGTTAGATAATATTTTACACTAGGAAAAGTATAACTTTTCTAAAAAGTACTGTTATGTTATTATATTTTAATAGTTTTTACATAATGTACCAAGTTCGAAATTGACAATTAATTTTATAATAAACGTTCTGTCCACGAATGTAAACACATTTGTTACTTATTAATTATTAAAACTGGGGTTGTCACTCTAACAACTCTAAAGGCATCTCTTTAAATCAAGTATCCATGTTAAAAAAATACTCTATTACTGCTCCTCATAGCCCATCATACTGGCCAACATCACACAGAAAACGTCCAGATATTCTGGACACACCAAATAACATTCAAAAATCAATTAAAAATATACTCGACCCCTGTTCTGACCCTTCTTGCTTTAAATACCAATCCTGCAATCCGCACCAATCTTTAACAAATAAAAACACAAATTGGGAAACATTCAGAAACATTATTGATACTAGTTTAACTTTAGATATTAACCTTAAAAACTGTGATGATATTTAAAACGCAACTAACAATTTAACATCTCTTGTACAGACTGCTGCCTGGAAATCTACCCATACATTAAATAAAACCACCCCCCCGAATTCCACCCCTCTTCCTCTGTATGTCCGTGACCTGATTGTCTTTGAACCAAGAGCCAAAGTTGCGTGGCAAAGAACAAGATTTCTTTCTGACAAACATGTATACAATAATTTAACTCTTAAAGTTAAAAAAATGCTTTCCGAAATATAGTCTGCGTAGGCCAGAAGGCCAACAGTTGTCTGTCTTAGTGAAAAACCTACAGTGACATTTGCTCTTCTAACAACCTTCTCCAACACTAAGTCAAAGAGATTAGGTGAAAGTGCGTGCCCTGTCTCAGTCCTGTTGTTACTTAAAGTCTACGAATAATGCGCATAGGTTTTTATCGAATTCCCGTGCCTTTTGAAAAATTTGTCTCATGTTGAAAATCTGATCCGTGGTTAACCTGTTCTGTTTAAAGCTGCATAATAAAATGTAATTTTCTGTCTTTGTTCATCTAGTCTGATTATTATTTTTAAAGTTTTTAGTTTAAGAAAAGAAAAACAGATTAAATGTTTCTGAGAATTTAATAAGTTTGAAATAGAGTACGGGAGCGAACGGGAAACAATAGGAAAACATAATAAAAAATGATATCGTGGACTGTTTGTATAATTAAAACTGGTGCTTCGTCTACACAAATTGATTGGATATGCGACCAAATTCAAACGAATTTTAGATTTAATTTTGTTCTGATATTCTCGAAAGCGCAGTGTTTTCTAGAAACAAACGACGGCGGAATAATGTTATTCTACTCGAACAAGCTGACATATTGCCAGTGGCTTTTTTTACACCTAAAGACGGACTAAAAAATATGACGTCCAAATTTAAAGAACTACTTTTCGGGGATAGTTCTGTCACGCGAAAGTCGCTTGAGAATTAAAAGTACGACTTACTCGTCCTCTCCTTCTACCGCAGTGGTCTTCTCGAGACGGGAGCTGTGGATACACCGCTGAACGGCGGTTGGTCGAACAGCCATTTCCTGACGGTCTTCCTCTCCATCCCCAGCACGTCCGGAGCGGAAAGACCGGAAACGACGATCGATAACTTTTCGGGCATCTTGAATACGATTCGATTGGCAAAGTCTGTGTTTAATCGGCGAAAGTCGTAAAAACTTGGGCAGTGATATCCGAGTAGCATCAACTGTTTGAACGGCAAAGGAAAAAATCTTGTTGACCGAGGTCACCTAGACGACGGCCGAGCAAACCGGCCTTGACGACCAAACGCATAATTACACAGATCGAACGGTCGCTATGAGAATTCAAATTACCTATTGTTTTTTTACCACGTTTTTTATGTTTTAATGGGGAAAAAATCGTACAACCGCCTTTTTTTTAAGAGCCGGGGCGACATAGCTGACCCCGAAAAGTGTTTAAAACTCGACAGAGTAATATTGTACCGAGGTACATTTAATCTGTGTTTCAACAGGGTTTTCTTGTGTCTGTCTTAATTAATTAAAACGCCACAAGGATTTAAAAACATTTTAGTTTTATTAAATTTTTTACTACATTTCAGTTACACAAAAAACGGCGTCTCGCAAAGGCAATTTCTATACGTCCGCGTATTCGGGTATTTTGCTAAACGTCATTATTATTTTTTAGTGTAATTTCATTTATACAGTCACACAATATAAAAGCTTATTTTACGAGTAGCGTAATTGTTGTGTAAAATAAAAAAATCTTACAAATATTTTCTACAACGCTATTATCTGCACACTACACTATAATATATTGCCGAGCTGTTAAAGGAGTCGTTTGCTTTCACAACGGACCGATTAGATACTTGAAGGGTTTGAAACGTGTCGCCAAACCGAATACACACGTTATTATTATACTAGTCGAGGTGGCAAAAAAAAAAAAAGTAATAACAATAAAGCGTCGATTTGTTATGACAAGATAACGCGGATGTGCGTACACGGTTAGGTTAGGTTAGGTGATACAATATTATGCACGATAGACAAACGATCCGCCGGGCAAAAGATTCAAGTCCGAGCCACCTTCGTATGCAAATATTATATTAAATTCAAATACAGAATCTATTCGATATTGTTTTGCTTACTAAACTTTAAAATTTTAGTAATCGTATTTTGATTTTCACATTAAATTGTTTATTTTTGTATACAGTTGCATATTACAGGTTGTTACATTAATACATTTTTGATAATAATTGATTCACAAAGTTTATTATTTACCATTTTTTTTTGTTTTTAGTTAGTTTTATTTAAAGATATTTGTTTGTTTGTACTATATTTTGTTCTTTTCGTTATTACTACAATGTTAAAAAAAAAAAGTCGTTTAAATTGTTACGATTTTTGTGTTAGTTTAATTAATAAAATGTACCTAGTTTTCTGTCTTTGCCAAACTGGTTTGATTATTTGCTATTTTAATTTTGGCTGTATAGTGTATAATAATTGTTTTTTATACATCTCACGGCTTCAGATTTTGTTTGATATGCGTTAATAATATTGCCCGACGGTGTTGGCATGTCTGTATTTTTTTCCCGGCTGTAATATAATATTACGGTATACATCAAAATAATTATACTTTACGGGTCAGTATTTTTTTTTTTTTTATGTATTATGAAATCACGTTGAATTTTGTACCGATATTGAATATTGTTTTTATCTACTGTAATCGTCGTTTATCGGGGAAAAAATCCGACCGGTCCTTATCATAACAAATCAACACTAATGAAAATCATAAAAAAAAACTCGAGTTTATGTATAAAAAAAAAAAAAAAAAAAATAGGCAATTTGAGTTTGCATAGCGACCGTTCGATCTGTGTAATTATGTGTTTGGTCGTCAAGGCCGGTTTGCTCGGCCGTCGTCTAGGTGACCTCGGTACCAAAAAGTACCAGGCTTCTATACTTGTACAGAAAAACTTATCCAAATTCCCATGTGCTTCCGTACAGTAAAAGCCATGCCTACATTTTTTTTTTTTTATTCATGAAAAAGCGGATTTTTAGGTTGTTTTTCGACTAACGTTTTTTTGCATTAAGGGGGCTCCATACAGACCATTTTTTCAGTCAAAACACATCATTTTCATTCCATCGCACAGGCCTTACCAGTGCTTATCCGATAAGCAATCTAAAAACAGATTTGAGTTTGTCGTGAAGTTTACTTAGGATCGGTCGAGGTATTTTTTTCAATTTTTAATTTTAACCCTTTTTAAATTTTATTTTAAAATGTTGAAATATTGTAAAATGTTTAAACGTGTTTTATGCACAGTAGGAATAAGATACCTATCAAAAAAGTACGTCGACCGATCTCAAGTGAATTTTTTGACGAATACAAATATCTTTTCATATTACTTATCGGATCACTGGTTGAGCCTGTACTATGGAACAAAAAATGTATATTATATTAACTAAAATGGCTTTTACTCATAGGCAAAATGATTTAATTAAAAATAATACCTTGAAGCTTGTACAAATTAATCGGTAAATTTATTGAAATGGTCGAAATTTATTTAAACTAATTTTTTCTTAAATATTGCCTAAACAAAACTCCTTAAAAATGATCTGTATGGAGCCCCCTTAATTGAATTCTAAACGTTTAAAACCAATTACCAATAAAAAATAAATGAAAACTCTGCGTCAAGTACTGTACATATTTAAATAGTTACACCAGCTATGCAAATAAACTAACATACGGACCTTGTAAAATATATTTCAATTTTAGTGTTTCGGTCGTAATATATGACTGAAGACAAAACGAAAAAAAGTCGATTCAAAATATTTAGCTTAACAAACAGATCAATTTGATCTTTGTCTTAATAATTGTAGCATTTAAATATTTTAAGTAAGCTGTATTATCAATTTCAAAAGTTGTAAGTATGCTTTAAATTATACATGAACCAATTTAATAAAAAATATTGTGTGCTACTGGAAAAGATAATTTTTACTCTGTTATAATGTTTATAATTTTATTTTTTACCGAACATGACATTCTCAATTAAATGTTGCCCGCTTTCGATTTCGATTATCAATGTTTTTGCTTTAAATCAAGCATAAAATAAGTATTGCCTTAGGAAGTTTTTGATCGCAAAATGTTAGCAATTAAAATTGCAAGCGTGGCATTTATAATTTTACGCAGTCTTATTAACTATCGTACAAAAGAAATATAATGCAATATGTTTCTGTCAATAGCTAAACATAAATTATACAATTATTGATGTATTTGTACTTGTATTTTTATAATCAGTCAAGCTGAATTAAAGTAAATAGAAAAATTAAATGCCAAACGTGTAAAATTAATAACTAATAAAAAATAAACTCTGCGTCAAAGTATTGTACATATGTAGTCATAATAAAAAATATTTACCTAAAATATAAATAAACTTAAATATTCTTTGCAAAATAGT